TCTGACCACCACATCTCTCACCAGTCCTTAAATCGACTTTCTTTTGAGTTCATTGGAATAGAGAAGGAACATTTCCTTATTAGGTTATCTGTTATACTGACTTCTTACTTACAGTATGTTAGAACTATCCCTTTGCTGTAATGAATCAGTTTACATGTATAATTGTTTTGGAATTGCTGCATTTGGGTCATTTGTGAATGCCTTTTTTATGCTTGATAGTAGTAAACCTTCTGTAAGTAAATCCATGATAACAACTGTGAAATTTGTGTAACCAAGATGAGGAATGACATGGTAATGGGCCTGTATTAGGTATTGCACAAACCGAAATTATTGTTTATAATGAGATCTATAGCTGTGTATTATTGCACAGAGTGTATGTTTTCTTATGTAAGGAGATATTTTGGAATTGGTTAATTGTAGTCAGCTGCAGATGGAGATTGATTTATTTACAATAAATAATAACTTCTCAGGGTCAGAATCTTTCCATTTTAAAATACAGGAATTACAAGGCCGTTAAGGGACAGAAACTTTCATTTTCTGGGTCTGAGGAAATGCAGTCCAAAGGTGCTAGGAAATACTGTCTGAAGGTACTAAGAAAGGAAACAACGCAGAGCTAAGAGAAGGATGAAGCAAGGGCAGTTGACACACAGCAGAGAGATAAAGACTCCAGGCAAAGGGTTTCTGTGTACAGGCATCTGGACAGAGAAGTGAATGTCAGTGAAAGAGGAGAATAATTTGGGCTAGAAATACAGAGTAAAATCAGAACGAAGAGGAAAAAGTTAATAGCTAAATGATTAAATTTTCCTAGGGGTAAGTAAGAGTAGTGCCTGGAAAGATACCAGTGAAAGGATTTACAGTAATAGGATACTCAGGGTAGTATAGTTGTTGAAACTCAAGGTATTATTTTCAAGATATGTTAAAAAAAAAAAGCCCCCAAAACTGCAAACAACCCCCAAACCAGCAGTGAACCTTAAACAATTGTCTTTCAGCGATATCCTTTCAACTGTTTTTATTTGCACTCAAAAGCTTTGTTGGCAATGATAGTTTGCACAGCATCAAACATGGCAGCATGTACTGCAACAGTCCTGCCTTTCCCCCCCCCCTCCTTTCTCCTTAAAGTTGTTGGGTAGAAGGTGTCGAAACTTGGTAAGTGAGAATGCTGTCCTGGTACTCTGGACAACTTGGACTTAAAGTTCAAGATGGCCTGTAAGATTACCAAATGTATGTCAAGCCCCTACTCTCCTCTTGCTGTGCATAGAAATTCCTTTCTGTCCTCATCTTTACCTGTCTCCAGCAAGTGCCTTGGATCACAGACTGATGCCTAGCTTCCATTTTGAATTTCATCAGTTTTCTGATCTGCACGCCTAACTTGTGCTCAATTCCGTGGTTTCTGGGTCACATAAATGAAGAAAGAGTATAATTCAAAAAGGCATTACAGGCAGATAAGATAAAGAGAAAGAAGGGCTGCGAGGTGGAACGTTTAAGAAAAGATGGGCTTCTTTTAGTTTTGTCCTGTCACACTGTTTCTGTTATCCTGATTTTAAAGGAATTGGAGGAAAACAGCCACATTTTTGCAACAGCATCTGATGCTCATGGAATGAGTTCTACATAAGATAGAGTCATCTTTGTGTGTGGATGTGTTGGTGGCATTATGTGTAAGTGTAAAATAAATTGGAAATAGGAATCAAGGAATAAAACATTTTGTAATGTACAATTTAAATATTGGACTATTTTAAAAATATTGCAGACTGTTTTCTTATGCATATATGAATAAAAATAATGAATTTATTACAAATATTTTCATCTATTATTTCCCCAAAACATTGTGGAATGTGTATAAAGAGAATCTTAAAAAAGAGTAGTGTTTTGAATTTGCATTTTTGTTGTGTGTGACTGGATGTGTCAGGGAAAAGTGCATGTACTCTCTGTGACTTAACAAAGGAAGGCTTGCTTTATTGAAGCTTGCACAGATGGCTGACTGATATCAAAGGTTTCTGCAGCACTGCCTACAAGTTGCCAGAAGGTCAGTGTGAAAATATATCACTGCCTGATTCCATAGCAAAGAACAGTTATTGTTACCAGGATTTATTAAATCCTGTCCTGCTAACAAACAGTACCTATCAAGCACTTCTTCTGCAAGTAGTCCACAGGAAGCAGTTCCAGTTTAAATGGCAGCACCTTTAAAGTGTTGTTTATCAAAAAGCATTTTTTATTTTGTTTCAACATGATTCATTTGAAGTATTGCAAGAAAAGTGTAATATAGTGGGTGAAATAGTCTATTAAGTGCAGTTGAAGTTAAGATGGTGAGAAGATCCTAGATAACTTAAAATTATTCTGTCCAGTAAATACATCATTTCCACTGTACCATGAAGAAAGCTTTAATCATTATAAGCAGTTAGGAAGGTGTATCAGTGAAAAATAGCTTGATTGGATCATTTTTAGAGTATGTGTGGACTGGGACTTACATAGCATATAAAGAAGGTTACCAACCTAATACTTGGCTCATTCTGCTAAATTTTTTTGCTTTAACAACCATTTTTAATCAGTGTATAGCAGCATGGCTTGAATGTGAAAGGATGTGTATAAGTGGAGAGGAAATCCAGTGTTGCTTGTCTTTATGTTACAAATTTAATTTTTAAAACTTAAAAATATTACAGTGGACCATCTATGCACCTTTCTGGTACACAGAAGTTTCTTAATTGTTTTTCTGTTACTGTTCACTGTGACTGATCAAGGACTCTCTCAGTAAGACACACTAGTTCAAATAAGGTTAAGTCTTTTACAGAATGTGTGTATATGTACATCTATACATGTTGTTTGCAAATGGAAAATTCTAATCATATTTTGGGTAAAAACTATCATTAAAGACAGCTGCATAGAATTACAATGTCTATTTTGAAGTTTTTTTTCTTCTTCCATTTCCCATTAGAGGACAGTGTTGTGAATATACAGCATATTGATTTCGGCATATTGAAAGGAAAGCAAGGATTTTTAATACAACTCAGAGTTCTTCTTTTCATTATGGAAGAAGAGTAGATTAGAAATAGATAGGTGGTTATAGCAGAGAAAGAAATTTGCATCCAGCTCACAGAAAGCTAGCTAGTAGAAAAGTTGAATTCAGTCACTTGTGTGTTTCAATGTTTCTATGATTAAACACCCTTGTTGTTTAAAAGGGGCAATAAAATGAGCTGTAGCAAACCAGAAATCCAGTCCATGCATTTACCATTTTTTTTTAGGTATCTCTGTTTACATGAAAGAAAATACTGTCTGTTTTGCCCTTTGAATTATTGAGCTATAACCCCAAGTTCTTTATAAAAGTTTTTCCATTTGAGACTATCCGTATTAGCCAGTAAATTTGCTTTTAATCTGAGTAGTTGTACTGGGTTGCACAGGAGCTGCCCCCATGTTGGACGGAGACAGGTCCAGCTGACTCCAAAAAGTACCCGCTGCTGCCCAAAGCTGAGCCTGTCAGTGACTCTGGTGGTGCCTCTGTGATAGCATGTTTAAGGAAGGGTAAAAAACACTGTGCAGCAGCTGTGAGAGAGAGGAGTGAAGCAATTGTGAAAGAAACAGCCCTGCAGGCACAGTCAGGAGTGAAGCTGAGCCTGGGAAAAAGGGGGGGCGAGGAAAGATGGTTTTAGTTTTGTTCTTATTTCTCAGTATCCTAATCTGTTATTAGCTGGCAATAAATTAATTTAATTTCCTCAAATTGATTCTGTGATGATAACTGGTCAGTGATCTCCTTGTCCTCATCTCAACCCATGGGCTTTTTCATCTCATTTTCTCCCCCTGTCCTGCCAAGGAGGGGGAATGAAAGAGCAAGTTGGTAGACACCTGGCAGACAAGGTTGACCCATCACAACAGTTTATGTGCTGAAGGCATATTGCAATATTTACTTATTGCAGTCTCCTAATATTAAGCATTTTTGAGCATTAGGTACAGTAACTTTAGTCTGAAAATCGTCTCAGCATTGACAGTATTCCAAGTGAAGTATCCTCTGCATTTTCACGATCATTAAGAGCTTATTCAAATAAGTCTAAAATATTCACTCGGATGCACAATTTGTAAAGAAAAACAATGCAAAAATTCTTTGGGGGGCTGAAATCAGGGGCTAGAGCAAAGTTAATGAGGAAAGTACTGCATGAGATTTTAGGGTATGCATTGCACAGAAGGTCAGACTACATCTTTATAACATGCTTTTCTAGACCTTAAACATAATATTCCCCGCTCTTGCTTGTTTCTTCCTCTTTATAGGAAAACCTGGGAAAAACTGTAACTTAGTATGATACTCATATGCATTTTGTTTTGAAGACTTAAAAGCTAGGACTGTATATGCCTTTGGGCCGGGTAGATATTACATTATTAATTGTGATGCAGCTAAAGATGTATGCAGTCTCTGGCTTCAACATGGTGTTATGCTTAAAACTATCAAGAGCAACTAACTGAGGAAAAAGAAATGCTTTTGGTCTTAACCTGTAGGAGTTAACCAAACAATGGAGTGTCCATATGTCCATAAGTACCTTTGTGGAATCCTAATGTGTCACATTTGTTCGTATAGTATTGTCTCTTGAATGATCCTTAACCCCAGAAGAAGTAAGGAAGAGGGAAAAAGAAAAATTTTGATTAAAGTAGAGTTGGTTTTCACATGTGGGATTTTTATTTTGGACTTTCTTTCCTACAAACTGCGGCATATTCCATTACTTGTCACTTATAAATTCCTGTCTTCTCCTGCAGTGCACTTGTAGGAGAGACATGGTGACAATATCCATGGACATCTTTGTGAGGAAGTTTCAACCAGACAGATACCAGCTGTGGAAACAAGGCAAGGATTTATACACCATTGATCATACAAAACCAACTCCTGAATCAACACCTGAAGTAAAGACCTGGCTACAGAGAAGAAAGAAAATAAAGAACGTTCCTGAGTGGTATTTATGTTTCTTTATCCTCCATTTAATTGTCTTCAATATTATGTCAATTTCCTTTTTCTTTCTTTTTTTTTGCCATTTTCTCTGATGTTTTATTTGAATTAATTTACTTTAGATGAAGGTTGTTTTTCTGTTTTCTGTATTAAGATGAACTTAGGGACAAGCAAGTGTTTTTTTTCAGAGAGACTATGAAAAATTAATTCATCTTACAAGTTGTGTATAGCTGAAGTTAATGAGTATGGAGAGCATCAAAATGCATTCCAGTGTGCTATTTAGAATCTTTCTTTAGTAGAGGTTATTCCATTAAAATTTTCAAGGTATGCATGGTTGTCGTTGTTTGTAGTGACATCTGCAACTAAAAGACAAGGGAGAAGTCTCCTAAGAGTTGAGGTAAAGGTTGATTTGGAAAAACTTACCATGAAGCTGTAGCAGAATCCCAACAGCTGAGTGAAGTCTCTAGCAGTAGTCTTAGCCCTCACTGCCATCTATCTCTATCTATTTGGCACACTCTTACAGTGCTGCAGCCAACTGTGTCTACTACAGGTTAATCACAGGTCATAATTTGGCATAAGAAAGGCCTAAATATCAGTTGTTGGTGCTGGCATCACTAAGGAAATCAGGACAAAAAATTTTCTCAGCTTGTCACTAGAGGTATCAAACCTTTGACCTATTAAAGCAGTTTCATAGCTAGATCTATTTTCCTGATGTGCATCATGGGTTTTTTTTGCATTGCACAAACATTTTTTGTACACTAATGCTTTCATGTCTTACTTAACAGGGTCTTTATGGATTTTATTGTTCATTATCTAATAAAGATCTGTTTAGTTTCTCACCTAGGATGGGCAGCTTTATTGTTATCTACTTACTGCAGAGTGCAGTTTGCTGGGTTAAAGATAATACTGAATTTTTAAAGACATTTTTCCTCCTTCAAATCATTTTACAATCTAGTTACTTTTTTTATCTTGCTCTTAAACTGAATTTCCTCATTGTCTTTCCAAGTTAATGTATTTCTTGAGGAAAATGATAGGAAAGTCAACTGTAAAGAAGAGGACCAGCTGCCACCGTAGTGGAACATTATAGCTGGGAAATACAACATTGGTTTTGTCCTGGGTAAGAATAGTTTGTGGGGTAGAATCAGTTCTTGCAGACAACCAGTGAAGCAGCTGGACAGCCAATTTGTTACTATATGTATAATACATAGAGTATTAACCTGGACACACAGAGAGAGTAATTAGATTGTTTAGCTAGATCAATGCCAATTTGCCCGGTAGTAAGTTTGACTCTATATATTGTACAGGGTAACTGCCAGTTCACACTTGGGCCAGCAGTGATTCACATTGATGCCCCAGCTATGGGTAGGCAGTTTTAACTAAAAGCAAAGACTTCCTAATAATTGTGTTGAAAGTTTTATTATAGGAACACATGGGCTGATTTCATGCACTTAGCTGAGCTAATAAACACAATTCTAATGCTGTTTAATTCTTGAGTTGGCTTTTGTTCAGGCGTGGTAACAATGCCTATTGCAAAGAGAGGATAAAATGTTTATTCAGCTTCATTTCTAGTGTAATGTGTCGATTGAAATTGTCATCATTTTGATTATGGGAATAATACAAGTTCAGCAGAGTGAAAATAGAAATGCCATCTATGGAAATCTTCATGAATATAGTGACAGGGAGAGCCTGGCTGACATTTATGGCTGAAATAATTTGCTACAATGGAACATCTAATGACAGTGTGTAAACAGTAATAATACTTGCTGATATATTACAATGTAAACTGATGGGTGTCTTATACTTCGGCAAATTTTCTGGAAATTACTATTTTATAGAGAGGATGTTGAAAGATATACATTGGTGGACATAGGAGGAAATGTAAGGGGTAGCAAATTTTTTCTGGAGTAAGATGCAAGACCTCTGTAAAACTCCTGATTTACCTGCCATATTTGGGCTTTTATCACTAGTGTGTTATGAATTTTGAAATGGGATGTGTGATGAAGCATGTAAAAATCTCCTCCCAAGTCACATAGTTGAATTTGGAACTAGACTAATCTCCTGTTACTTTTATCCTGAGCACATAAACTACAAAGCAGTTTCTGACAGAGGGTGCAATTTTTCCTTCTTTAACCTTTCCCTTCTACTTCTGAGGGTGCAAAAACAGGCTGAGGATATAATTTCTGCTTTGTTTTTTGCAGAGCATTATGAAATTTATTGCTTGATATTGTAGCCATTCAAAACATTTGGTGATCAGAATTTTTCCTTTTTTCAAATGCTTGTTATTTGTGTTAAAATGCATATAAAAACTTCTAAGATACCTAAACAGATCTGATTTTACAAGGTGTCAGACTAGTGCTGGAGTTTGGAAATACCACCTGATTTTAGTGCAACTGATACTTTTTTGGTTTCATTACTTTTATAAAGGTTATTCTTTTTCAGGATCAGAAGAATGTTTCATTAAAAAGCTAGTTTGGATGATGGTTAAATAGTAGTTACTTAAGGTTATTTTACAATTTAATAACTTTGCCATAGAATGGTGATAAAAGATTAGAAGGTTAAATCCAATCAATTGTTAATCTATCACTTAATAAATTGTAAACCCTATCTCAACACAAAAAGATGAAAAATTGTCATTTTTTACCACTTTAAGCAGGTGAAAGGGACATATATATTGGTAGACATTTTATCTTATCCTAGACAGACATTCTACTCTGACAGCAATATGTCTTGTAACAGCTTCCAGCACAGCAGATCTCGATCTAAAAAGCTTAAAACTCCAGAGGACAAGAGAGTATCTGCTATGGTAGCTGGTGCAGAAATCATAACGACTGAAAGAGCTACTGATGGCTTCAAGGTCAATGAAGAACCTGGGAAAAAAGTGAGACTGGTAAACACAGGAGTGCCTTCTGGAGAAGAAGAAAACAGTAGTAAAATGCAGCTGGATCAACATTTATTGGATAATGTCAAGGTTGCAGGTGAGATAAGGACTGATTATATTACACATGGAAGTTGTAGGCTGTTGATACTCTAATGCCACAAATCAGATGTTAAAGCATCTGTTAGTTATCTGAAGTAGCATACTAAAATTCTTACTTATAAAGTTGTGCAGAGAAGATTAATAGTCAGTGAGAATGAGAAAATGACAAAATTAATATTCTGAGCTGAGAGCAGTATCACCTAAACTGTTTTAATGAAGTGTTTTTTAAAGGGGCAAAAAGGATGAGGACAATGTAAATTATATTTCTTCAGTAGACTTATAGGTTTTAAAGCAAAATTTTTTTGATATGGAAATGATACAGAATGTCTTAACACATGCAAACAGTACAGAACATACATGCTTGTAGTATGCTACATGTATTTACATGAAGAATGCTGCATATTACAAGTGGTCTATACTTGTGCACAAAAATGCTCTGGTTTTAGATTGCAGATTTCTTGTAACTTCCTGTTGAGCTGCCTGACAGTACAAGTTTGGCCTTGTCAAGCCAAAGATTGTTCTTTTTCCCCCCCACAACTATTTTATATGAATATACTTGGTCTATTCTGGACTTTATTTCTTCTGTTTCATGTTTCTTTATAGCTCACGTGTAGTTTCTCATTCCTGTTCAGAAAGGCAAACTGCAATTTTAACTTTAGGTTTGTGAGCAGCCTCATTGGTTTTATATTGATACTGAAAATTTACTTGCAAATTGTATAGAGAGAAGAGTATTTCCCTGATTGTGAATATTAATAACCGTTAATATTGTTAATGGTTCTTTGGAGGTGGTTAATCACTGGGGTTGATCCACATAGAGATAACAAAGTGAGTATTCCAGTATGGAGGCTTAGAAATTCCTGCATACAAATAATTGGTGCTCTAGCAAAGCCTGTCCAGGTTTGTTCTGATGATTTTTTTTTTTTTTTTAAGGTGCTATTGCTTTACAGCTTCCCCCAGCTTCTAGTAGAGGTTTGGAGTATTCATGACCACTGAGAAACTAGTATATAGTTAGCAGCCATTCTGTGTTCATTCACAAGGGAAGGAAAAGCAGAGGAGAGTGGTGCGCTATCCTCTTCGTGCTATTAAAGAGTGGTGCCTGGACCTTTGTATGCAAAAGGATCTTTTTAGATATGATGGTGCAAGCTCCAGTAGTCACATTGGAGATGGTCATTCTCCTGCATTATCTCTGGCCAGTATGTCCATTATACTCAGCTGAGGCAGTACCCTTTGTACCCAGTGATTACGTTTTGGTGTTGGGTGGGCTTTATATTGCTAAATTTTATATTCATTTGACCTGAAAAGGGAATTTTTCAGAAAAACAAGTCCAAATAACCATAATAATAAGCAAAGAAAGAATGGGAAAGGACTTTGTACAGAGACTGTTTTCTTTAATGCCTTGGATGGGCCGCTGAATCAAAATTCACTGTGGTGTGTGCCATAGAGTTCTTCAGGAACATGTTCTTGGGTGACCTCTCTAACCCATTGTTCTGTCTATCCCGTGCAAGCATCAGCAGATGAAGAATTTTAATAGAGCAAAATCCACACATTTTTACCCGTCAGCATCACTGAAATATAAAATTATGCTAATTGTCAAAATACAAAATTATCCTAATTGCTTTTCATTTTTAGACCAGTGGTGCTGTTTTCAAAATATTCTTGGTATATCTTTGAAATATGTTTTCCTAATTATGAACCATTAGTTTTTGTTTATTTTCATTTCTCAACCAGGCATAATAGGTATAAATGCAGGGTATAAAGTTCAATATACCAACCTTTTATATTATTTTTTCCAACCAGTCAAAGTTCTTGTGGGCTGTCAGAGTAAACAAGCTACATGAATATTGATTATTTTGAATGACATGAAGATCTGTTGTAATTTGAATACAAAATACCAATTAAATGATTAAAACTGTATTTCACACTCCAAACTCAAAACATTTACATTTAATTTATTCTTTGATCAAACCTGTGCTCCACATTTGTGTACATCCTTCTACCAAATGCTTTTCTGTATGATTTCTAAATGAGGAACTGTGCTTTGAATTTGAGTAACTCAGATTGTTGTGAAATGAAATACAGTAATAGAAAGTGAGATTTATTAACAAATAATATTCTTGATCTATAGGAAGCATCCGTACAGACTCATTTTCAAGCCCTGCTCCTGTGCTAGAGAAAACGAAAATGGAACATGAGGACAGGACAGATTCCAATTGTCCTCTCTTTACATGTGAAAGTTCTGTGGCCTGCATGCCTGCTTCTGATAGCTGTAGAACAGAAGAGAGTTTGAAATCTCAGAATCAGTCTGATTCATCTGTACCATGCCATAAGTCAGAGGGAAATGCTTCTGAAGCAGAAAACACAGATAAAGAGGAAAATGTCTTGATAAAAGATGTCAGCAACCTAGAAAACTGTGGAAGTAGCTTGAAACATGGAGAAGTGCCCATTGTGAAAAAGGATGAAGAAGATGGCATGGAAACATCCAGTGTATGTGAAGCAATTTATATCATTATAGTAATATATTCCTGACCTAATGAAATGTGAATGCACATGTTTCTAATGAGACCTGATAACCATATTAAAGCACTTAAGAATATGCATTATTTTAATCAGATGCTAATTTGAACATGTTTTGAATTGTACAGACAAGAGTGGGAATTTGGATCCAAAAGCAGAATGTTTCTGGAGTTTGCTTGTTGACATATTTTGCCTCTGATTTTAGATATCAAGTAATTTCACTTTATGTCTGTGAGTCTGAACTGTCAGCAACTACTCTCAAGCTATTCCCATGTTTGCTGCCTGCCAGTATGAGCAAGACTATCAGCATGAATTCCTGCTATTGACATGAAATTGAAATTAGAAATGAGTGCTGTATTTGGTATCATATATTTGGGTTTCAAAAAATGTCTGTTTTGAGTGGGTCTTAAGGAGAGTTAACAGTATGCTGGTAAAATGTCAGCAGAATGGGTTGATTCTGAGAGACTTTCTGTCCTCAGAAAGGACAGAACATAACAATGTGGAAGCACATGGCAGTGTATTTTTGGAGTGATGCCCTTCTCAAATGAGGAATTGAATGAAGCAAAACTGAGGAGCACCTCTGCATTGAGCTAGTGGGAATTGAAAGTTTGCTTTCATTCTATTTTCTTATATAGTTTATGAAACCTTAGGGGCTTCCTCGCTTTAGTTGAAACTATATCCATAGTATTGAAGTTGGAGAAAGTGAATCTTCAAGACATGGCTATAGCAGGATAATATGGACAGTATGATTTCAGGATCTGAAAGTTGCTGTTCTTGGATTTTGAAAATGGCCTAAAACATGTAAAGGAAACACTTGAAGGAAAAGATCCTGCTAATAAAACAAATATATTTTAAAATTTTTAAATAGTAAGTTTAATAATGTCTTCTCATTGGGACACCTACAAACTTACAGTCTTTTTTTTACTATTGCTATTCTGCTATGAAAGGTGGGCAGCTTTGACTTTGGGGAGCGTAATGAAAAATTAAGCTGTGGTGGTAGTCACAGTAGCTTTCTGAGTTACGAGTTCAATCCCAGTTTGTCAGAGAGAGAGCAGGAAATCCACTGCCAGATTGCCAGACTTGGTGGGAAATAGATTTTAGAAGCTAAAGTAAAACCATGCTGACACTTTCACAGACACGAACTGTGCACTAATGATTTTTTGCAATGTTGTGAGTTTTAATAATCTTGGCTCCATCCCTTCCACTGTAATAATAAGGAGGACTATAAACATCTCAGTGTTTTAATCATCATGTTTTAGAGATTATATTTATCTCTTTCTGTGCCTTTCAGCCAATTATATATGAGATTTCAGATATTCTCCAGTATAATTGCATACTCTCTCTTTTATTATAAATGATAAAGCATGTTATAGAGATGCAAATAAAAAGTCTGATCTTCTTTCTCTTTTTACTTACTGGTAAATTTTTCTAGATCATAAACCTGTCCTGTGCTTTAACCACATCTTCTTCCCTTTGCTTATCACAGTAAATACTATGTTCTGTAATTTGCTTCCCAATTTATAATAGTAATTTTCATCCTTCAAATCAGTCAGAGGGCATGATTTTCTCTAGCACTTTACTGCTAGGTAAGATTCAGGGTGTTGAGAAGAATACTGTGGTGCATGGGAATCATGTGAGACTGTCCTTCACACCCTTCTGCCAGCGTGCTTGCCCTTCCTCTGTTCATGAACCTCCAGGTACCATCAGCGGCTGGTTTACTTTGTGGTTCCCGCAATGGCACTCAAATGTGGAGTTGTGAAAGCTGCACTTCTAGAGTTTGTAGCATTGGCTTTAGTTCTTGAAGCCTGGGTAACTTCAAGCTGAATGTACATAAGAGTGTTTGAGGGAGGAAAGAATTTCCTCATATCCCAAATCCACATGTTAATTGCATATCATGACTCTTAATTTCTTAGCTCAACTCCAGAGAATTTTTTTTTTACTTCCTCAGGAATTTTGCACTCTTTCATAAATGAAGTTAGTGGATTTCTGCCTTGTTTTCCCAGACATGGTTAGTGGCTGTATTGTACTTCTGGTTCTGCAGCATTGTTTGGGCTGTTCTTCCTCTCCAACATCAGCTGAGCAAATCAAGATGTATGCTCTGCAATTTGGGAAGAAATTTATACCTCAAACCATTTGTGTTTGACAAGGATTTCTCTTTTTTAATTAAAGTATATATTCTGAATTAGAGACAAATGTTTTATTGGTACACTAAAGGTTCTCCAAGTACTCTGCTAGTATTTACAGAACTGACATCTGTGCTCATTTACAGAACTATGGTTTTTTTTCATCAAAATTAACTTTGCAGAATTACAGACTATATTAGTTATGTTTTTTTGTTTTCAGGCAGCAGAAGTTGAAAGAAAGAAGAGTTGGCGTCATCCACTAAATAAACCCCCAGCTAGATCTCCAATGACTTTGGTTAAACAGCAAGCAACTAGTGATGAAGGTGAGTGTACTATTTAATACATTTTTCTGATTATATTTTTATGTCTTTCTGAGACATATGTATAAGCGTTTGCAAAACCAACCAAGATGAAATACTTTCTGCATGGAAAATGTGAACAGTGAGGTCTCTGAATCCACAGACAGATCATGTACTTTTCGCCTGTTTTCAACTCAAATTCTTCTGAAAACATGGGCTCTGTCTTTGCAAAAACTCTGAACGATATAATTTAGAAGAAATATATTCACCAATCAAATACTCCTTATTAGAATTCACAGCAGCTGTGTTTAAGAACAAGTTTTTAATTGTTTAAACATAGATAAAAGTGACATAAGATCCATATTCAAAGGACTCGTAGGTAGTCCCCTATATTGCTTTAAAGCTACTTTTTCCTTGTCTGTTTTTTGATAGACATTGGACATTGGGGAGTCGGTGTCTTAAGATACTGTAGTTCTCATTCAAGGAAAAGGCTACAGACTTTGGGGTATCATGAAAAGCTTACCAAGACTCTTTAAATATGTCTTAATTTCCAGGCTTTTGCTTATTCTCATATGGAAAGAATGAAGATGTCTCTCCCTGTAGTTTTGTTAAATCAGTTTTACTCTATTAATAGAGTAAATAATAATTAATTAATTAATGGTAATTGAAAAGCTGATTTTGATTGGTATGTCATCTGCTTGTCTCCTATCTCTATATATGCTTCTACCTGTACTTAAATAGTATGCAGGTTTGCAAGTAGTGGATAGTGTGCAAAACATTAAATTAAGTACCATATTTGCACAAACATAAAAAGAGGTGGAAAAACATAGTCCTGTTTTTAGATATAATGAGACTAACCTTTGTGTATTAGAAAGCAGCAAAAGGTCTCTACCTCCTCAGCTGAACATTTCTTGAGAAATTTCCTTAGAACAGTTTTCATCTTACTTTTAAGTGGCAAAAAGCAACTGGAAGCAGGGTAAATGGCTTTCCTGTGAATGTGTAAGATTGGGCTTCTGACTTGGCACTTAGGTACTTCAAGTAATTTTTCAATTTTTTTTTGTTTTAATGCTGGGTAGTAACCACAAAATTCCATTGTTTCAGGCACTTCAAGCGATTAAGTGAAGCAGAAATTAAGAAAAAGAAGCATGTCCATCAATAATGATGATAAATGACGGTGATATGTAGAGCAGGGTTTTGTACAAAATAAATAAGTAAATAATTCTGCAGACGTGAAATTTAGTGCTCTATAACTGGATACCCCAGTGATCAAAAAAGTTAAAACAATACTCAGAACTTCTCAGATACTCTTTTTGGGAGCTTACTTGAAGTGCTTTAACTTTAGAGAGCCACTATCTTGTGCAAATAGGCTACAAAAGCTAAGAAGTTTACCCAAGATAGGAATTTGCTTCTCTGAAGTAAATAGAAACAGTAAATCTGCTTTACCAACAGCAATCACATATACAGCCAGCTGAAGTTGATGAATAAAGCTACTTTATTCTATCAAACGTGGCTTGTGAAGCTTATCGAAATGTGCATCAAAACTATCCATCAAGATGGAAAACAAATACATTCCTTTTTCATATTGCCTTAGCATTTTAGTTCTCGTAACACACAGGTTTTTCAGCTACTGTTCTCCAGAATCTCTTCAGTTAGCAGAACTAGAGACTGGTTGTCACAATCCCTTAGACATGTTGATACTCTGTGTAGTGCAGAATGGAGTTGATACAGTGTCTGTGGCTACAGGTCTGATTCCAACATTGCTGTATGCTTCAGTGTTTACCTGCGCTTTATATCTGCATTTTGCTTGGAGCCCGTATTTTATACTTTAAGTGATGTACGAGTTTTCCTGGACTTCCCTTTTTTTTTTTCTCCCCTCAATTATTACCTCTAGTCAACAATAGCTGTTTCTTACAACTACAGATAAACTTTCTTGACTTCAGAGGGAGACAACATGCCTATTAATTGATTCTTCTTCTTGTAACCAAGGGATATTATGCTTTCAGTTAGCACCAATTTAGGCATTGTTGAGTTGGGATGCTATAATTTTAACTAGTCCCTCATCAATACATTTTCCTCCTTGTTCCAAGCCTAAAGTCGTCAATTTGTTTCTTCCATCTCACTAGTTTGAGAAAGCCATACTCTCTCTCTCTTTTTTATCTGAGCCTCAGTTTTTCCAGGCATGATACTTCAATTAGCTATTACACATCTTTCAGAAAATTAAAGACAGCTTAGGCCCATGATGTGTATCATATATGGGTATGTTTGGATACCTTGAGGGCTAGACACAGTATATTTCAGAAAGTGTTATGGTAATTTGCACAAAAAGGATGATATTAAGATTCATCTAGTAAAGTAATTAAAGATTTAAATATGTGGTAGGTTGAAGTCAAATTGCTCTTTTTTAATATATTCTATTTCTTTTGCCTGCTCATGCTTTTTTAATGTTCTAGTTAAAACATAGTGTAAAATGCCTATTTAAGCAAGGATTGTGTATTATATAATCTGGCTAGATGATGAAGTGATGACAATGATTTGTTAATCTCAAGGTGTCTGCTCTTTGTTTACAATCTTATCCAGTAGTTTGTCAGCTTCGTGGTATCTTAATTTTATGTGAAAGTAGCAGCATCCCAGCAAGAAGTCATACACCTTCCAGGCTTTCCTCTTTACATGATGAATGCCCTTCTGGTAGATAAGGGTGTATTTTTGTTAGGAAAGAAAACATCTTAGAATAATTTCAAGTAGCTATTAAGTACCTGCGTGCTTATTGATTGAAGGAAGTAATTAAGAGTTTTATTGGACATGGCAGTTATTGGTATTTCCTAGCTGGAACTGGAATTTGATATTATTTTTATGTGTCTGTTTCTCATTGTGATCTAATTTATCAGCATGCTTTTGTGAGAATATCGGAAGAAAAGACAATAGATTTTGGGTGAGCAGAATGCTTATATCCAGGACAGGGATTGAAGAACTCCTGAGGGAGACTGGCAAACCAAAGCCTTATTAGCTTTCCTGGCACATGCTTGCATGCAAGTTAAAGATCTGTGGCTAGATCAATGACAGTTAAAGGAGATTTTTCTGATCATGTTCAGGAATGTTTGTTGTCAGGTATCAGTGAAGTAATCAATACCAATATACTAATGACTATGCTGCTCTTTATGAAAGTGCTTTGTCCATATTCTGGAGTTACCAGAAATGTAATTCAGCATGCATACTTACTCAGTTCTTGTTCTCTGTGTTTTCTGAACAAAGATGATGCCGGTAATGGCTATGATATGATGGTGTCTTGGTACTGTAACTTTTGAGTTCATCTATTCCTTTACAAGGAGTATTTATATATTGATGCATTAGTTTATCTTTGTATTTCTGTGTATCTGGGTCTGGTAGAACCATAAATGTAAACAAAATGGAGGAAGAAGAAGATACGGACTAGTCTGTTATGAAAAATTAAGAAATTGGGGCTTTATAGTTCACTTGCAAATCATGTCACTTTCCATGAGTTGGATGGTCTGTAGCCATTTCTAATACAGATAATTTATATTCAAATTAATATATTTGAAGTCCTTCATATACTAGAGTTCTATTAGGAAGTTTCTGTGAAGAGAGGTGATCAGAGGCCATTAATAATCTGAAGGCAGCATTCTTTGACACTGTCAGCCATTTCAGAACCATAATCTTGCAAATAGAATATTATCATATTTAACAGCATGCCTAAACCTTAGCAGGCATTTTCCGGATTCACTATTAATACAAGTCCTTTGGCAGAAATTGATTTTTTTGCACAGGATCACTTGGATGTTTTTCATTTTTATCACTGCATATGCTGCTTTATGTGTATGTTTCTTTATGATCTTTATGTTTCTTCTACAGAAAATGATTGGGTTAATTGTTTCTTTGTGGTCTATTGGTGTTAGTTTTTTCTTTTTTACTCTCCCTGAAGCCTTTCCCTATGTATGTCTGTCTTCTGAGTCTCCCTTAATATGATTGTTTTTGTAGAATTAATGCCTGAAGGACTGAGAAATGAGAAATGCTGGGGACTGGGGAATCAATCCCAGAAATTATAGCTCAGGCTGCCAATTTAGAAAAATAAGTGCAGCAGTACAGTCTGAGCTGTATGTCACAGTCAAAATACTAATAATTTTTATGTAATGAACCTTGGTCTTATGCTCAGTGCGGTATATTAGTTTGTGGTAATATTATTCTTTTGTATTTAATGCAGTTGTGGTTCTGCTCACTTAGGCTATAAAAAAGCAAATTCAGCAGAAGGAGAAAGCATACCGACTTTGCACATTGATTGGTCCCAGAGATTCCAGCAATATTTGGGCACGCAACATTAGAAACTGTTTTTAGATTCAAGTTGACTAAAATTTCCCATTGCCCTAAATGATATAATAATAGTGTATAGATTGAATTCAGTATAGGTTTCTTTGTATATGCTTTTAAGTGTTTTAAATACGATTCAGAAGTTCAAGAAGTCATTTTGCATTCTTTACTTTGTAAAATAAGGAAACAAAAAGAGCAAAAACTACTGTGAACTGAAAGAGTGGCTTGGACAAGAGTTTGATTAGTGAAAATTGCTAGTTTTACAGCTGTAGTTTTCCTTCTGCTATGATATAAAATAAGCTTCTTCAGTTTTTACGTTCACTCTCAGCATCCTGTAAGATGTCGTTCAGCTGGTACTAGTAGTCAAGCTGTATAAGATGTGTTCAATAATGTCGTACGTAAATAGGTTAAACATGCTGAAATAGGGGAAAGTTACACTTGTAGATACAATTATGACTCTCTTGCTTCACAGCTTAAAATGATAGATTCTGCTTGAAGTTTCTTATTTCAGAAAGAAACTTGTCTTCTGGTGTTACTTAGAAGGTGGAGAAGAATTTGTTAACCAATTGATAGAGGCATGTTTATTTTTGCCACATTAGCATTATAATTTGCAATGTTGCTTTCATTCCCATACTATACTGTTCTGTTTTTTTGAGTCGAGCTTTACTTTAAAAATACTTTGCTCTTGTGTGGGTTATGAGTTA